CAGTGTAAATGGAAAATAATGAAGGAGGGTGGGAATCATGGGAATCATAGGAATCAGACAGGTAGGCAAGGGCCACCTCAAGGGGTCTTGGATGCCTTGGTACAAAGTTGGGATTTCACTCTAATTGAAGTGAAAAGCCACTGGGGGGCTTTAAGCAACTGAAATAACATTATATAACATACTTAATTTTTAAAAGATCTCTCTGGTCTCTATGCTAAGAACTGATTGCATGGAGGCAAGAATTAAAGTGGAGAAAGGACAATTTAAGAGGATGTTGCAGAGGCCAGAGAAGAGACGAAGGTGACATGAGTGGTGAGCAAAGGACAGTGAAAAGTAGTTGGCTTTAACTATTTACAACAGCCAAGACATGGAAGCAACATAAATGTCCATCGACAGAGGAATGGATAAAGAAGATGTGGAATATTACTCGGCCATAAAAAAGAACGAAATAGGGCTTCCCTGGTGGCACAGTGGTTGAGAGTCTGCCTGCTGATGCAGGGGACACGGGTTCATGCCCCGGTCCAGGAAGATTCCCACATGCCGCGGAGCGGCTGGGCCCGTAAGCCATGGCCGCTGAGCCTGCGCGTCCGGAGCCTGTGCTCCACAACGGGAGAAGCCACAACAGTGAGAGGCCCACGTACCGCAAAAAAAAAAAAAAAGAATGAAATAATGCCATTGTGGCAACATGGATGGACCTAGATATTAGCATACTAAGTGAAGTAAGTCAGACAGAGAAAGACAAATACCATATATCACTTATATGTGGAATCTAAAAAACTGATACAAAGGAACTTATTTACAAAACAGAAACAGACTCACAGACATAGAAAACAAACTTATGGTTACCAAAGGGGAAAGGTAGGGAGGAGGGATAAATTAGGAGTTTGGGATTAACATATACACACTACTATATATAAAATAGATAATCAACTGGACCTACTGTATAGCACAGGGGACTCTACTTAATATTCTGTAATAACCTATATGGGAAAAGAATCTGAAAAAGAATGGATATTTGTAGATGTATAACTGAATCACTTTGCTGTACACTTGAAACTAATACAACATTGTAAATCAACTGTACTCCAATATAAAATAAAAATTAAATTAAAAAAAAGAAAGTAGTTGGGGAATTCCCTGGCAGTCCAGTGGTTCAGACTTGGCGCTTTCACTGTGATGGCCTGGGCTCAATCCCTAGTCAGGGAACTAAGATCCCACAAGCCACACAGTGTGGTCAGGATAAAAAAAAAAAAAGTAGTTGGCTTTAGAATATATTCTGGGGATATTAAAAACGGAATCATCGATAAATACGATGTGAAAAATAAGGGAGATAATTAAGGATACCCCTGGTTGGGGGGTAAGGAATTAGGTGGATGATGAGATAGGGAAGATTTAGGAGGAAACAGATTTGGAAAGGAGTATAAGAGTCCTAGTTCCAAATGGCTCTTAGACTTCCCAGTGGCCATGCTGAATTTGTAGAATAAACAAATGAATCCTGGTGATATGTTTAGTTATCCCTCCTACTACACATAAGAAAGACAAAAGCCAGAAGTTCCTTGAAGATACCAGCTACATCTTAACATAACCTTTGCATTCTCAGTATTCCTCAGCATAATAAGGAAACCTAATGCCTATTAAAGACGTAGTAAACAGGATTAAATTCAACTGACTTGACTAGGCTCTGTACGGGAGGCAGGACTTTTGATGGACCTCAGAGGTTTCCATGAAACAGAAAGATGGACACGAATATTTCAGGTTAGAGAATAGTACACATATATATCAACGCAAGTATAAATAAAGGCCAGTAAAGAGGCTGGCCTGCTTGGAGTTGGGGGGACACTCCAAATGTCAAGATACACTCACTTAGCTGAGAGGACCATGCTGGAATACTTCCAGAACCGGACCCCCCCCCATCGCCTCCAATGCTCCCCTCTGGTCCGAGTCACCATTCTCTCGCTCACCTGGATTATTGCAACAGCTTCCCAACAGGTTGCCTGCTTCCACTTTTGCCGCCTTACAGATTATTATCAACCCAGGAGCCAGACCAGGCTTTACTCGTAGTAAGAGATAAAGTCGTTCCCTGACCTACATGGCCCTCACCCTCTCCCCATTCCCTTCTATGTCATCTTCTGCTACTTCCCCCATGCTCATTCCATCACAGCCACGCTGGCCTCCTTGCTATCCCTCCATCACCAGCCATGTTCCCACCTCCAGGCCATTGTGCTTGCTCTTCCCTCCACCCCTTCCGCTGGATATGGGCGTGGCTCACTCCCTCAACTATTCCTGTCCTTGCTAAACAGTCACCTTCTCAGTAAGGCCTTCCTTGCCTGTCCTAATTTAAAATGCAACCCCCATCCCCATCTCTGTACTCTCTATCCCCTCCTCTGCTTTATTTTTCTCTCACAGCAATCACCACCATTTGACATGCTGAATATTTCACTGATCGAAACTCCAGGAGGGCCGTGACTTTTTTTTTTTTTTTTTTTGCGGTACGCGGGCCTCTAATCCAATACCGTTGGTGTCTTAGAAGAAGAGATTTAGACCTACAGGGAGTCACCAGGAATGAGTGCATACAGAGAAAAAGCCATTTGAAGACATGGCAAGAAGACAGCCATCTGCAAGCCAAGGAGAGAGGCCTCAGAAGGAAATCAAACCAACTGACCCTTGATCTTGGATTTCCTGGCTCCAGAACTGTGAGAAATAAATTTCTGCTGTTTAAGGCACCCAGTCTGTGATGTTTTTTATGGCAGCCCTAGCAAACAGGTATACCGTGTATGCCCAGTAGCTTGGCCAAATGGGAATCATCCTCACAGAAAGGACTGAATTGTCGTCACCAACTTCCTGACAATAATACCCAGAGGGATCAGTGCTTCCCACAAATGACGCGTTTCCATCTCAGTCAGGATGGATTCTCTAAGGCAGGGAAAGGTTGACGTGGCAGGGGCAGGGGAGAGGGGCATGGCAGCAAGCAGGGTCTTGCTTAGCTGTATATCCCACCTGCTCTCCACGGTCCCTATATCCATGGGGCAGCAGGAAAGGACCACAGAATTTCTCAGCACTGGAGAGAAACAGATAAAATCTCTCCTCAAAAATCAAATCAGAAGACAAATTGAGTTAGTGTTACTGGAAGATTAAAAGCTAAATAATAATATGAAGTGTTATATAAATAAAGGCCATAGGAAATACAGCACAGAGAAGGTGGCATAATCAGTGCATGGAGCAGAAGTGCCAAAGAAGTGGAGAGAAGAGCGCCGAGTGCACTGAAGAAGGCCTGGAACAGGGCAGTGTAAACTGACCTTGCGGGGTGGGGAATTTTCAGGGAATGCAGCATAATCACAAACAGAAAAAAAAGCCACCAGCCTGAGACTAGTCATACACTTAGGTCTTGTTCCCACATCTGGCAATTACCCTAAATCCCAAGAAGTAACTTTTTTCTTTTTTCTTTCTTTTTTTTTTTTTGCGGTACGCGGGCCTCTCACCGCTGCGGCCTCTCCCATTGCGGAGCACAGGCTCCGGACGCGCAGGCTCAGCGGCCATGGCTCACGGGCCTAGCCGCTCCGCGGCATGTGGGATCCTCCCGGACCGGGGCACGAACCCGTGTCCCCTGCATCGGCAGGCGGACTCTCAACCACTGCGCCACCAGGGAAGCCCCCCAGAAGTAACTTTATATTAATATTTGCCAGAGTGTATTTGCAGGATTGTAAACACACACTCAAAAAATAAAATAAAACTGAAAATTGGGGAATTAAATAGGTTTCTTTATTGCAGAACTTCTCAGAACTCAAAGTACATTTGTAAATTTCCCCCAAATGATTAGACCATAAATCCTTTTTTCCCATGAGGATTTCAGCTAGCAAGTATTTTCGGGAGCATCCCCTTAAACCTTCCTGATACCACTAGTGGGTAGAAAAGGTCAACCAACCTATAGTGAGCAACACAATGCAAAGCACCAAACCAAAACAGTAGTCAAGCCCCAAAGCTGTGCTTTCAGACCAGCAGATATTTGTAGAGAAAGAGGGAAAACTAAACAAAACAAGATAAAACAAAACAACAGTGATCCAACCAGTAAATAGCATAGAGTGTGGCTGATTTTTTTTTTTAAGTAATCAATATTATCGTTTCTATGTGGCTCTGTGCTAAAAATTTTACCTCAAAACAATCCTTGTAAAATGGGTTCGAAAATCACTTTCACTTTACAGATAAAAAAGCTGAGGCACAGAGAGGCTAAGACTTTGCTCAAGGTCACACAATAACGGACAGAATCAGCCTTACATCCAATTAGGGAGGTAATTCCAAGAGCCTTCAAAAACCACAGCCTGAAACACAGAGCACCTGTTATACACCCAACATAACGTTGAAAACAAAAAATCATGGCCTGGGCTTCCCTGGTGGCACAGTGGTTGAGAGTCCGCCTGCCGATGTAGGGGACGCGGGTTTGAGTCCTGGTCCGGGAAGATCCCACATGCCGCGGAGCAGCTGGGCCCGTGAGCCATGCCGCTGAGCCTGCGCGTCCGGAGCCTGTGCTCTGCAATGGGACAGGCCACAACAGTGAGAGGCCCGCATACCACAAAAAAAAAAAAAAAAAAAAAATCATGGCCTGGAGCTATAATCAATTCCAAGCAGCATTTAGGACTGTTCTACCTTCTCAAGAAGACCCGGTCAGTCTTGGGGCTGAGGCAAAATCTGAGCAGCAGATAGTTCTGCCCAAACTGGGAAGAATCTGAAACTGGGTTCAAGGTAGAGATAGCTGACCACAGGAAAGGACAGAAGCACTTGGAGGTCAAGTGCAACACAGTTCAGAGACCTGTGAGGCCAGTGACGGATCGAGAAAATCCACCCAGGGCAGGAACCAGACATCACTTTTGCTGCCAGCAGCCTCCCCAGCAGCCGGAACATACGGTCATTTCCTGCATCCCGGCGACAGCAGAAAAAGGTTCCTGTGAAAACTTGCCCTTGGAACAGTTCACATTATGAGTACCTGTTTTTGCCCTCGTACTTACCACAGTAGGAGTACCAAACACTTGTGTCAGAGGAGTTACAGATCCAGCGTTTCTCTCCAGGTTCAGTAAATGTGGAAGAAAACAGGGCGGAAAAAAGCATAAATGGGAACATGATTCAGTATCTTCAAAACTTTAAAAATGCAAGGACAGTCAGTAACTAATCATCAGACTCTTCCTTTTTAATAAGTAGAAAAAATTTAACTTAGTCATCAGTCACATGATTTCTGAGTTCCTATCCGACTGTTTCCTCTTTTGAATGTGTGTGTGTGTGTGTTTAATATCTGAGCACTTGCTGCAAGAGGAAAGGAAAATGATTCAGAATGTACTCTTTGCGAACACGTGATACAAATGAGAGCACAGAGCTTTAAAAACAAAATCAGGTATTTCCCAATCAATAGTAAAGAAACCAGCCTGTAGGTCTTCTTTAAAAGATCAAAAGTCTAGCACTCTTTATCGCTCTGCATTGCTATTCTCTCACCCACAAGTTTTTTTTTTTTTTAAACCCTAAGCACGCCCTCCTATTCCTTCTTTCTTTATTTATGGCCGTGCCGCTGGGCTTGGAAGCGTGGGGTCCTAACCACTAGACCGCCAGGGAATTCCCTCCCACAAGTTTTTTATACAACAATTCTCACGGCCAGAAAGCAGAACCTAAAGCTCTGAACTGAACAGGCTCACACAAAGTGTTTCTGCTCGGCAACAGGTTCAGCCAGAGGGTAGAGCCCAGCTGGATGAGACCCCAGACACAGGACATTAGCTGTAGTTCTGCATGGTGGGCGGGGGGTCTCACCAGGCTTGAGAAGGCATTCACTTTACCAAATTACAGGTCCAGGGAATACCTTAAAATGGTCATTATTTTGTGTGTGGAATGTATTTCATTCCAAAACTCTCACTTTGTTCTAGAAAAACAGCCACCCCTTTAGGTGCTTTGCTACCTGAAATTCTTTAAAGGACATGGTCTGGGATTAGTAGCCAAAAAATAGCATGGAGTTGGGGCCTTAAAAACCTACAGGTTTAGAGGAAAATAATCATATTTGTAAAAGGTTTTACTAAAGAACTGTACTACTTTCCCATTTTTTTAAAGGTAAATATCCATGGGGTGGGGCGTAGTCTGGGGAAATGGGGAGTTGCTCAATGGGTATTGTTTCAGGTTGGCAAGGTGAAAAAGTTCTAGAGATCTGTTGCACAGCAATGTGAATACAGTTAACACTAATGAACTGTACACTTAAAATTGGTTAAGATGGAGAATTCCCTGGAGGTCCAGCGGTTAGGACTCCATGCTTCCACTGCAGGGCACATGGGTTTGATCCCTGGTCAGGGAACTAAGATCCCACAAGCTGCCCAGTGCAGCCAAAAAAAGAAAAATTTTGTTAAGATGGTAAATTTTATGTTATATGTATTTTACATATTTTTTAAGTGGGGGAAAAAAAGAGGACAAATCCATGAATGCTTCTAGTAGTCTCAAAATACCATTTCCCAATAAAAGGAACAAATACTCTAGAGAAATTACTGTTTCCAGGTCTGAGGCAGAAAAGGTTCAAGATGAGCCTAAAACATCTTATCATATTAGACACCCAATTTGATGACAGTCCCATTGACCAAAGATGGGTTTCCTATTGAGTTGTAACAAATAACCACAAACTTAGTGCCTTAAAAACAATACAAATGGGGAATTCCCTGGCAGTCCGGTGGTTAGGACTCTGAATTTTCACTGCCAAGGGCCCAGGTTCGATCCCTGGTTGGGGAACTAAGATCCCACAAGCCATGCTATGTGGAAAACACACATACATATGCACAATACAAATGAATTCTCTTACAGTTCTGGAGGTCAGAAGTCCGAAATCAGTTTCAATGGGCTAAGAGCAAGGAGTCAGCATACCTAGTTCTTCTGGAGACTCCAGGGGAAGACTCTGTTTACTTGCGTTTTTCAGTTTGAGAGCTGCAATCCTTCCATTCCTCCATCTTCAAAGTTCAGCACTGTCATCTCTGCTTCCATCGTCACATCGCCTCTCCCCTGATATCCTGCGTCCCTGTTATAAGGGCTCTATGATTACAGTAGAACCATTTGGATAATCCACGATAATCTCCCCAACTCAAGATCCACCTATAAAATCCCTTTTGCCATTTAACATAACATTCACAGCTTCCAGACATGAACATTCAGCCTACCTGTAGACTATTACGATCATTAATAAGATAGTAACTGCGATGAATTGAAATACATCAAATATATTCAAATCAATCAGCTCATAATAATTTTTTTAAAGTCTAATCAGCAGATGATGCTAGGAAACCAACTCTATTTTGAAACCTGATAAAGGGAAAGAATCAAGCATTTATCCTGACTTTTCTACAGAAACTGAACTACCGGTAACCAAATAGTACAGAGAGGCAAGTTTCCCTTGCCTTCTCATACTCTTTTCTCTACTTTTAGAAGTATTTCAGCTAATATATGAAAAAGGAATGATAGAATATAACCATTTTGCAACACCTAATGAATTAGTAAACTTGGGCACTGAGCATTAGTAGTTGCTAACGTCACAGAGAGAGAGACAGAAAGACATTGTATTCTTCTTGATGGGTGAACATGGTGGTAGCCAACCTCCAAGATGGCTCCCAATGACCCTTACCTTCTTGGTATGCAAATCCTTGTGTAGTCCCCTCCAACAATGTATAAGGGTGACTGTGTAACTAAGAAAATATTGCACAATGATAATGTGCAACTTCCAAAGTAGATCATAAAAGACATTTTGCCCTCTACCTTGCTCTCCTGGATCAATTGCTCTGGGGGAAACAAGTAGCTCTAAAGAGAGATCCATGTGGTAAGAAACCAAGGCCTCCTCCCAAAAGGCCAGCACCAATTTGTCAGTCACGTGAGTGAGCCACCTTGGAAGCAGTTCCTCCTGCCCCAGCCCAGCCTTCAAATGACAGGAGCACCGCCGGATATCTTGACTGCAACCCCATGAGAGAACCTGAGCCACACCCGCTCAACTAAGCCATTCCCAAATACCTGACCAACAGACACTGTGCAATATCATAAATGTTTGTTGATGTTTTAAACATCTAAGTTTTAGGGGCAATTTGTTATGCAACAATAGAAAAATAATACAAACAACATCAGCTATGAATCAGTCTTGTCCAAAATAATCAAACCTCAACCTGATGAAGCCTCAATTTATAGCAAATACAGTAGACAGACAAACATGTTAAACTACACCTTGGGGATATAATCAGAAAATCTAGACCATGAAAACATATATAGGACAAAACACTCAGTTTCTTCAACAGATGATTTGCAAGGGGCGGGGGGTGGCAGGGGAAACAAAGTGAAAGAGGGAATTCCCTGACAATCCAGTGGTCAGGATTCCATGCTTCTGCGGCCGGGGGCCGGGTTTGATCCCTGGTTGGGGAACTAAGATCTCACATGCCATGTGGCAGGGCCTAAAAAAACAAAGTGAAAAATATAGAAGGGCCCATATATTAGAAGTCTTAAAAGACACTTAGAAAATAAGTGTGAATAAGGTGGGAACTTTAATTAGATCTTAATCCAAACAAAATGGGGGTGAAAATTATGAAACAATTGGAAATTTGAGTAGACTGGATATTTGATAACACTGGGGTCAAGGGCAGCTTAGGTATTATGATGGTATTGTTATTTTTTTAAGTCTTTATCTTGTAGAGTTACAAAATTAAATATTTAAGAAAGAAATCTTATGATGTCTGGGATTTGGTTCCAAATAAAAGTAGATGGCAAGTGGTCTAGATGAAACAATGAATCTGGATGACAAGTCACTTTTTCTGAAAAAATCAGAGTACAATTTTAACGAATGTGTCCAAGCTAAGGCTGTCATTCATACCTAATGACCGTTTTGTTACTTTTGCTTCCAAAAGCTGAAGTCTTTCAGTATGACGTAATCTACGTTGAGGAAAAGGATTATATCTTATCATCAAAGGGTACACTATCTGATGTAACCCAGAGGTCCAAGGGGATCACCCTGCCTTTTGGGACTCAAATAAAACTGACTCAATATCCTTCCCATAGGTAGAGGGAGACTCACCACCTTCCTAATCTTTCCAAGATTACTCTGCCTGGGGAGAGGGTGGTAAAGTGGCATGGGAGGACGTGCATATATTTCTTACCTTGGCCTGAGCTGTTTCTGCGGACTTATTTCAGTGATGAACCATTATGGTATCCTACGCATGCTGATCCTTTTCTACATCTTGGTCTCACTCCAAATCATGCCCTTGAGAAGTCATCTTTCTCATGTAGTATTTTAAGCCTTTTTTCTTTTCTCTAAATAATTGAGGAATTATTGATACTCATAAAAATAGGATTTTCACTCCACTCCACAGGTGACAAAATGGTTGCATGGATATAGGACATTTAAAGAAAGAGACAGGATGTACTAAAAACAAGTTATGAGGGCTTCCCTGGTGGCACAGTGGTTGAGAGTCCGCCTGCCGATGCAGGGGACGCGGGTTCGTGCCCCGGTCCGGGAGGATCCCACATGCCGCGGAGCGGCTGGTCCCGTGAGCCATGGCCGCTGAGCCTGCGCATCCGGAGCCTGTGCTCCGCAACGGGAGAGGCCGCAGCAGCGAGAGGCCCGCGTACCGCAAAAAAAAAAAAAAAAACAAGTTATGAGAAAACTGACCCTTGAGAGAAAACTTTGAAATGTTAACAACACTGTTTTCTTCTAATATTTATCTAACATTTGATAATGAGTATTTGATTATGGAATAATCTTTTTTTGTGTGTGGTACGCGGACCTCTCACTGTTGTGGCCTCTCCCGTTGCGGAGCACAGGCTCCAGACGCGCAGGCTCAGCGGCCATGGCTCACAGGCCCAGCCGCTCCGCGGCATGTGGGATCTTCCCGGACCGGGGCACGAACCCGTGTCCCCTGCATCGACAGGCGGACTCTCAACCACTGCGCCACCAGGGAAGCCCTGGAATAATCTTTTTACAGAAAGATATAAATCACATTAACTGCTAAGATAGCAACAGGTCCACATCTAGGTGACAAAGGACAGAAAAGCAGACAGGCAGAGGCCCAAACTGAGGACAGAGGGTGTGGCAGTTTGTTCATCTAAGAATAGAGCCCGCCCTCTACTAAGACCACAAGCTGGCTGATCCTAGCAGAGGGCAGGCTCTAAGGCTCAGAAAGATGAGCACTGTTCTACCTTAAGCTGTCTCCTATAACCTGCTAGCAGCTTCGGACTTGATCTTTCCCCTAAGAACTAGTGATGTCCCTGCTTTCTCCGTCCACCTCCCTCATACCACAGGCAAGCCAGAAAGATTAGATTTATCATTGTGGCAGGTGATAGATGTTAGGCAGCTCTCTACAGACTGGGTGTTTTGTTCTCAACTGTGACTCTGGCAACTAGCCCAGTACCTGACACCCTCTAGGCACTTAATCAGTATCTACTAGTCTAAATAGCATGATTTGAGGCCCTTTGTTCCTGGCTGAAAATCCTTCACAAGAACCAACTTAACATTAGCATGGAGACTTTCATTTTATAAAAGGTACTATCCATCTGTGTAGTACATACAATTTTCCCACTGTGTCAGGGTGTAACAAAGGAGAGTGTACATGGAGGGACAAATGGAACCACTGAAGACGATACTACTTAGGTCACCACTTCCCCAAGAGCTAACCACACCCTACTGGACATGGATATCTTTAACGTGGGCAGCCATGCCAGAGATGATAGGCAAAAACCTGTGCTCTGAGCCAAAGGAAGCAGATTAACAGTCTCCCATAATCTGTGAATTTTTAAAGAGTTTTCAATGTGGGAAAAGGTAATATCTATATCCTTAGAAAAATCCAAACACAAAGGAAAAATAACTTTCCCATTTGCTTCTGACATCCAATCCCCAGCTGAGAGGCAATCACACTTATTATATAAAAGTAACCATGCATATGTCAGCATATACATGTATTTTCACACCCTTTTAACACAAATGATAGAGTATTGTATGTTTTGTTTTTCAAATGTGACTTTTTTTATTATAAAGGAACATAATTCTCTGGAATTGAGAAGTTCTGTGATACAATTTCAAATTATTTTTTTAACAATCAGTCACTAACAAAAATCATAAGTAAAGGCAATTATTATACACTGGAACATAAATCACATTTAAGCAAACATAAAAACGACAGACTCATTTCTCTTCTTTAAGCTGTTTCTTTTCACTGGCTTCTTCCACATCAAAAGTGAATGGTTTGTCATAACCCATTAGATG